AGGCGGAGGTTGCGGTGAGGCGAGATCGCGCCATTGCACTCCAGCCTGGGTAACAAGAGTGAAACTCCATCTCAAAAAAAAAACACTAGCCGGGAGCGGTGGCTCAAGCCTGTAATCCCAGCACTTTGGGAGGCTGAGGCGGGTGGATCACAAGATCAAGAGATCGAGACCATCCTGATCAACATGGTGAAACCCCGTCTCTACTAAAGGTGCAAAAAATTAGCTGGGCATGGTGGCGCGTGCCTGTAATCCCAGCTACTCCGGAGGCTGAGGCAGGAGAATTGCCTGAACCCAGGGGGCGGAGGTTGCGGCGAGCCGAGATCGTGCCATTGCACTCCAGCCTGGGTAACAAGAGCGAAACTCCGTCTCAAAAAAAAAAAAAAAAAAAAAGACTATGAAGAGGGCTTCTGGAATGTTGCTCATGTTGTTTCTCGATCTGGAAACATTTACAGGTCTGTTGTTTGTGAAAATCATTTGAATTATACTTACATGGACATTTCTTTAAATATACTATATTTTTAATATTTTTAAATTTTTTTTTATTTTAGAAACAGGTTTTCACCATGTTGGTCAGGCTGGTCTCCAACTCCTGACCTCAGGTGATCCACCCACCTCAGCCTCCCAAAGTGCTGGGATTATAGGCATGAGCCACCACGCCCGGCCAATATACTATATTTTAATACAAACTTAAGAAAATAAAGAAGACTTCTGTCAAAGGACCATAACGTAATTTTCTGGAGGTAAAATCTAAGTATGTTTTCACGTTTCAGTGATAGAAAAATTGAAAACACTTGCTGATATATATGTATATAACCTAGACAGAACATTTTTTTTTTAGACAGAGTCTGGCTCTGTTGCCCAGGCTGGAGGGCAGTGGTGCGATTTCAGCTCACTGCAACCTCCGCCTCCCGGGTTCAAACGAGTCTCCTGCCTCAGCCTCCTGAGTAGCTGGGACTACAGGCGTGTGCCGCCATGACTGGCTAATTTTTGTATTTTTAGTAGAGACAGGATTTCACCATGTTGTCCAGGCTGGTCTCGAACTCCCGATCTCAGGTGATCCGCCTGCCTCAGTCTCCCAAAGTGCTGAGATTACAAGCCTGAGCCACCTCACTTGGCTGACAGAACACTTCTTGAGGGTCAAGATTATGTCTTCCTTTGTATATCACCTATACCACCTAGCAGATGCTTGCCACATAATAATTTCTTAATAAATAAATATAAACAAATTCTCAATCAATAAACAATATTTGGTCATAGAAATTGTCTTAATTCAATAATTAAAGTAAATTTAGTTTTAAGTTATTCATTACAAATACTTTCTCGGCCGGGCGCGGTGGCTCAAGCCTGTAATCCCAGCACTTTGGGAGGCCAAGGCGGGTGGATCACGAGGTCAAGAGATCGAGACCATCCTGGTCAACATGGTGAAACCTCGTCTCTACTAAAAATACTAAAAATTAGCTGGGCATGGTGGCGTGTGCCTGTAATCCCAGCCACTCAGGAGGCTGAGGCAGGAGAATTGCCTGAACCCAGGAGGCGGAGGTTGCGGTGAGGCGAGATCGTGCCATTGCACTCCAGCCTGGGTAACAAGAGCGAAACTCCGTCTCAAAAAAACAAAACAAAACAAAAAAAACAAATACTTTCTCAACAAACAAATGTGCTTGTTAAATGATATTGAGCTAACCAGGAACCATTTTAAGATCACATCAATTTATTGTCATAGCTGAATTTCCATTGCCTTTTGTCCCAATTTTTACTCACTAGTCCCAAAATCCCCTCTGTAAAACACTGCTCACATGCATCCCTACCTAAACATTAGTTTCTGAAAATTAACGGCCAGGTGTAGTGGCTCATGCCTGTAATTCCAGCACTCTGGAAAGCCAAGGCACGTGGATCACTTCAGCCCAGAAGTTCCAGGCCAGCCTGGGTAACATGGCAACACCCTACCTCTACCCACCCCCAAAAAGAAAATACAAAAAATTAGCCAGGCATAGTGGCATGTACCTGTAGTCCCAGCTACTCAGGAGGCTGAAGTAGGAGGATCGCCTGAGCCTGGGAGTTGGAGTTTGCAGTGAGCCAAGATGATGCCACTGCAGTCTAGCCTGGGTGACAAAGAAAGATCCTGTCTCAAAAAAAAGAAAAAGAAAATTAGGTTGGGCACAGTGGCTCACACCTGTAATCCCAGCACTTTAGAAGGGCAAGGCAGGTGGATCACCTGAGGTCAGGACTTTAAGACCAGCCTGGCCAACATGGCGAAACCCCATCTCTACTAAAATTACAAAAATTAGCTGGGCATGATGGTGCACGCCTGTAGCCCCAGCTACTTTGGAGGTAGAGGTAGCAGTGAGCCGAGATCACACCACTGCACTCCCACCTGAGCAAGACTCTGTCTCAAAAAAAAAAAGAAAAGAAAAGTAAACATAGTTTGAGAATTTTACAATAGTTCTTCATATACTCAGTGAAAAAAAAAACAAAGGAAAAATAATTTTGGCTGGAAAAAGAGAGAGATCACTTAACTCACACTTTTCACAACTCTTAATATTTTTATCCTATATTAGAACCAAAAAGCATGTTTCAAGAGTTATTTTGATATCCTTCTCTGATCAGGACATAGAATTGATTCACCACAGCTAACTACGGGCTTTGAGTGTTTTAAAAAAGGCAATTGGCTGAGCACAGTGGCTCATGCCTGTCATCCCACCACTTTAGGAAACCAAAGCAAGAGGACTGCTTGAGCCTACGGAGTTCAAGACCAGAATAGGCAATATAGGGAGACCCTCATCTCTATAATTAACAACAACAACCAAAAAAAGGTGGGGGAGCCAGTTCTGGTGCCTCATCCCTGTAAACCCAGCACTTTGGGAGGCCCAGGCAAGCAGACTGCTTGAGCCCAGGAGTTTGAGACCAGCCTGCACAATGTGGCGAGACCTTTTCTCTATCAAAAAAAGAAGAAAGAAAATTAGCTGGGCACGATGGTGCATGCCTGTAGTCCCAGCTACTCCAGAGGCTGTGGTGGAATGATCACTTGATCCTGGGAGGCAGAAGTTGCAGTGAACTGAGATGGCGCCACTGCACTCCAGCCTGGGTGACATAATAAGACCCTGTACTGGAAAGAAAAGTAATAAGATAATATACGCCTTATATAGGAGATATTGCTTAATACGTACACATTTACTTTATTTAGATATAGTACATTTAAAAGAACTTTTTTTTTCCCCTCTCGAGATGGAGATGGAGTCTTGCTCCATCACCCAGGCTGGAGTGCAGTAGCATGATCTCAGCTCACCGCAACCTCCATCTTCCGGGTTCAAGTGATTCTCCTGTCTCAGCCTCCTGAGTAGCTAGGATTACAGGCACCCACCACTGCGCCTGCTAATTTTTGTCTATTTAGTAGAGACAGGGTTTCACTAAATAGTGAAATGTTGGCCAGGTTGGTCTCGAACTCCTGACCTTGTGATCCACCTGCCTCAACCTCCCAAAGTGCTGAGATTACAGGCATAAGCCACAGCACCCAGCCACTAAAAGGAACTTTCTAAGTAATCCTTCCCTTTGTAGTTAACTCATAAATATGCTTTGATTTGCCTGTTTTACACTCTGAAGTCTTTTATGTCACAGCTTTCAGAACACAGAGAACAGACTTAACACATAGAGTTCTCAAGTAGTTGTTTCAATCATTTATATGAAAGATGCTAGAAATCTGTCAATACTATTGTAACTTAAGCATCTCACTTCAAACTAGGAAGCAGGCAGCCAGCCATCTCAAAAAAAAAAAAAAAAAAAAGGCATTTTTCTAGCCTGGAGGGTTTTTTGTAGATATGGGGATTTCAAAGGAAATTATACAACTAAAAAGAATTTCTGCTCCAAAAGAAGTCTGCCCTCCTGCCCTCCAGTTGGTTGTCTTCTGAAATAAAATGTTGAATCCACTTAAGAATTATTAATAAACAAGTTTATAAACGTATACGAAATCATTTTGATGCCAACTGAATGTTAAATATGCACACGCAAACACACACCCCAAATCAAACAAATATAAACCAAAGTAATAAAATCACAGTAATACAAATGGCATTTATCAAAGTGATATAAACGAAAGTGATGAAGTTGCCGGGAAGCATAAAGGACTTGTAGGTCTTATGGTATTAGCCAAGAACTATTAGGTAAGTATTCGCAGATGATGCAAGCTGAGAGCTAAAGGAAAATAAAAGGAAGGCTTTCCATATGAGGGAATGATATGCTTATTCATTTGGGGAAAATAAAGTATATAAAATATAAGTACACTTGCCTAACTCAATCTGAGAACATCGATACCTAGCCCTATTACTGTTTACATGGTGAAATTTCACCATTTCAGAAGATTCTTTTTTTAATTAAATACTGACAACCCTTAGCTGGTTCTCCAATTTTAAGTTACTCCAGAAACTAAATAATAATGTTATAACTTGGAAAAAATGCACTTATTAATTACCTTTATTTTTATTTATTTATTTATTTATTTATTTTTTTTGAGACGGAGTTTCGCTCTTGTTACCCAGGCTGGAGTGCAATGGCACGATCTCGGCTCACCGCAACCTCCGCCTCCTGGGTTCAGGCAATTCTCCTGCCTCAGCCTCCTGACTAGCTGGGATTACAGGCAAGCGCCACCATGCCCAGCTACTTTTTTGTGTTTTTAGTAGAGACGGGGTTTCACCATGTTGACCAGGATGGTCTCGATCGCTCGACCTCGTGATCCACCCGCCTCAGCCTCCCAAAGTGCTGGGATTACAGGCTTGAGCCACCGCGCCCGGCTATTTATTTATTTTTTAAGATAGGGTTTCACCATGATGGCCAGGCTGGTCTTGAACTCCTGACCTCAGGTGATCCACCCACCTCGGCCTCCCAAAGTGCTAGGATTACAGGCGTGAGCCACTGCACCTGGCCTATTAATTACTTTTAGTGATCATACATTGACCTATGAAATCATGTTTTTAAAATTATTTTTAAAGACACATTTCTGGAAGTCTTACCATGAGCTGTGTAGTTTGTACAGTTAACTGGTTCTTGCGTAGCTTCATTTATTTTTGGATCTTTACAAATATATGTAAAAAAAAAGTTAAGGAAATATAGACTACATTCCAACACAACACATTATCATGCCTTTACTATTCATATTATATACTCATGTTGATATTCACATGTACATAGAGGCTGCTAGTTTGTCCAAGTCAATAAGCATATGTACAAACCTATTTTAGTATTGCTAAATAATACCTGAGGCAGGAGGATCACTGGAGCCCAGGATTTTGGGAAGAACAGCCTGGGCAAGATAATGAGACGTCTGACGTCTGTCTCTACAAATAATATAATAATACATAAACATTACAATAAACCTTTAAATTTGTGCCATAGATAGCCACATTTTCACTCATGAGAAAACAGAGTTCAAATAAGCCACCAAAGGTTACAAAGCACAACAGAAATTTGTCCACTGAGGCCTAGAGCAGTGGCTGATGCCAACGGGGTTGCAGATCGCTTGAGACCAGGAGTTCAAGACCAGCCTGGCCAACGTTGCATAATCCGTCTCTACTAAAAATACAAAAACTAGCCGAGCACAGCGGCTCACGCCTGTAATTCCAGCACTTTGGGAGGCTGAGGCCAGTGGATCACCTGAGGTCGGGAGTTGGAGACCAACCTGACCAACATAAAGAAACCCCGTCTCTACTAAAAATACAAAATTAGCTTGGCATGGTGGTTTATGCCTGTAATCCCAGCTATTCGGGAGGCTTAGGCAGGAGAATCACTTGAACCAGGGAGGCAAACGTTGCGGTGAGCTAAGATCTGCCATTAGGCTCCAGCTTGGGCAACAAGAGTAAAACTCCATCTCAAAAAAATAAATAAAAATAAAATGAAAACACAAAAATTAGCCAGGTGTGGTGGCGCATGCCTGTAGTCCCAGCTACTCAGGAGGCTGAGGCAGGAGAACTGCTTGAACCCAGGAGACGGAGGTTGCAGTTAGCTGTGATGGTGGCACTGTACCCCAGCCTCGGTGACAGAGCGAGGCCCTGTCTCAAAAAAAAGAAAAAGAAAACAGAAATCTGTCCACTGGTAGTCTAGCATCTCATGAAGTTTGAAGACGACATGAGGTAATATACATGAAGTTAACGATAAATGGGCAACACACATCGGCTAGACTGCTATTATCTTCCCCCTGGGATGAGTTGGCAAACATTTCCAAGGTAGAGACTATCAATCCTTGCATTACTTGTGTCTAGAACGGGGCCTGGCATACTTCAACTACATATTTTATTGAACAAGTAAGCACACTTGTAAAAAAGAAAAACAAGCTGGATAGAAGAGGAAACGCCAATGACTAGAAAAATCATAAAGAAATCAAAAAGGTTGGCCTCTGGCCCTTCCATCTCCACAACTCTGTTCACCTTCAGGGATCTCTCAGTCTTCAGAAGCCACAAAGCAAGTTATCGTTTTCATTCACTACAGCCCTGGCCCGTGCCGAGGGCAGCGACCCACCTGCGACCCCAACCTCGCCTCCATGGGGGGTGTTCCCCACAGAGGATATTGTCCCACTTTGAGGTCCTCGCACTTAAGCGACTCCTCACCCCCGGCAGAGGTGGCGACAGCCCCCCAGGGTCCTGTGGTAACTGAGATGAACCACAGGACACCGAAGAGCCTGACAGTCACGGCCTCCGGAGCACACGGACCACAGGGCCAGGCGGCTGCCATCTTGGAGACAGACACTTCCTTCGCCACTTCCGCTTCCGCCTCCGCCCAGGAGCGGGCGGGAGAAAGGCAACAGAGCGAGGTTCTTAAAGGGACCTCGCAGAGGGTAGCGGCCAGTGCCGTCACTTCAGGTGTTCTTTTCCCTGTGAGCCCGTGGAATCACATTGGGAGACGTTTTTAAAATATGCGTGTCCCCGGTCCCTCGGGGCGAATTTTCCCCACGAATCCTTGGAAGGAGCTAAGGTCGATCTTTGGATACTGGAGGAAGGAAACGACTGGTTTAGGCAATCAGGTGCTTCACCCACTACTCGCATCCTTTGCTGCGGTTTCTCGGTCCTCGCAAAGTGCCAGCGGCGCCTGACATTGGGATCAGTGCTTTCCGGACATAATCGCTGTTAGTCCTGATAGAATTTGGGTTTACAGATAAGGAACAAGGCTCAAAGACGCTGAAACACACTGACCTTAGTCGGAATGAAATTGATGTTTGCCAGATTTCAGATCTGTGCTCTTACTAATTGACATAACGTCCTCCTGATACTTTAGAGAAAGACTTTGGAAAGCTGTCACGAACAGAACTTAAAAACTCTGAGAGACATTACACCTTAAAAAAAAAAAAATTGACAATTTAGGTGGGGGATAATTTGGGGGGTGGAGGGTGTAACAAGAGGAAACCAAGTAGTCTATGACTAAATGAAAGTTTAAGATTTTTTCCCTCCATCTGTTGTTTTTAAATTTCTACATATTCTAAAAGTTCTGTGCCATCACAGAACTTTAATAGTGAGAAAAAAATTTTTAAGTTTAATCTTTTTTGTCTAACAATATGAAAATTTGAGGCCGGGCACGATGGCTCAAGCCTGTAATCCCAGCACTTTGGGAGGCCGAGGCGGGTGGATCACGAGGTCAAGAGATCGAGACCATCCTGGTCAACATGGTGAAACCCCGTCTCTACTAAAAATACAAAAAAAAATCAACTGGGCATGGTGGTGCGTGCCTGTAATCCCAGCTACTCAGGAGGCTGAGGCAGGAGAATTGCCTGAACCCAGGAGGCGGAGGTTGCGGTGAGCCGAGATCGCGCCATTGCACTCCAGCCTGGGGTAACAAGAGCGAAACTCCGTCTCAAAAAAAAAAAAAAAAAAAAAAAAATGAAAATTTGAATTTGAGTGATGCTTCTTCATCCATACTTTAGCACTAACTTTGGTGGTTCTCAAACTTTGAGTAGCATCTGAATCTCCTGTAGTACTTTTTTTCTTTTTCTTTTTTTTTTTTTTTTTTTTTTTTGAGACGAAGTTTCACTCTCGTTACCCAGGCTGGAATGCAATGATGCGATCTCGGCTCACCTCAACCTCCGCCTCCTGGGCTCAGGCAATTCTCCTGCCTCAGCCTCCTGAGTAGCTGGGATTACAGGCACGCGCCACCATGCCCAGTTGATTTTTTTTTGTATTTTTAGTAGAGACGGGGTTTCACCATGTTGACCAGGATGGTCTCGAAAAAAAGAAAAAAAAAAAAGAAAAAGAAGTGGTTGGAAGCTGGGCCTGGTGGCTCATGCCTGCAATCCCAGCACTCCAGGAGGCCAATGTGGAAGGATCACTTGAGTCCAGGAGTCTGAGTTCAAAACCAGCCTGGACAACATAGACTCTATCTCTACAAAAAGTAAAAAATTGCCTGGGCATGACTTTAGTCCTAGCTACTCAGAAAGCTGAGGCTGGAGAATCACTTGAGCCCAGAAGTTCAGGGCTGCAGTGAGCTGTGATTGTGCCACTGCACTCCAGGCTGGGCAATAGAGTGAGACCCTGTCTCAAAAAAAAAAAAAAAAAAAAAGGAGGAAAGGGGGAAAAAAGAAGGGTTTTGCAAGTGTTTTTTCTAAGTGTTAAAGCAGAGGCGACTCCCTTATCATGGAGACTCAAGTAGACTGGAATCTCCTGTTTTCAGAAAAAATTGGTCTTTTGGGGATCTATCTGCTTCCTTAAACCATGAGTTGAGCATGAGGAATTTTATTTTATTTTTTTTTAATTTTATTCATTTTGAGACAAAGTTTACTCTTGTTGTCCAGGCTGGAGTGCAATAGCACAATCTTAGCTCACCGCAACCTCCACCTCCTGGGTTCACGCAATTCTTCTGCCTCAGCCTCCTGAGTCACTGGGATTACAGGCATGCCCATCACACCTGGCTAATTTTTTTGTATTTTTAGTAGAGACGGAGTTTCTCCATGTTGGTCAGGTTGGTCTCGAACTCCTGACCTCAGGTGACCCGCCTGCCTTCACCTCCCAAAATGCTGGGATTACAAGCATGAGCCACTGTGCTCAGCCCTCTTTGCTGATTAATCCTATTACAAAATCAATTTTTACAGATGATTATGTATGATTATGTGTATACTCTTCTGCAGTATGTAAACTAAAAAGAACAAAAATGTTTCCCCCTGAAAGTAAAGAAACAATACAAAATTTTTTTTTTTTGAGATGGAGTTTTGCTCTTGTTACCCAGGCTGGAGTGCAATGGCGCGATCTCGGCTCACCGCAACCTCCGCCTCCTGGGTTCAGGCAATTCTCTTGCCTCAGCCTCCTGAGTAGCTGGGATTACAGGCACACACCACCATGCCCAGCTAATTTTTTGTATTTTTAGTAGAGACGGGGTTTCACCATGTTGACCAGGATGGTCTCGATCTCTTGACCTTGTGATCCACCCGCCTCGGCCTCCCAAAGTGCTGGGATTACAGGCTTGAGCCACCACGCCCGGCCAACAATACAAAATTTTTGACTCTTGAACTGGTGAAGGGTTTAAAAAAAAAAAATGTTGCTTCTTACTGCTCCTTAATCTATTTTCTCATGGCTCAGCAAAATATATTACTTTATTTCTTTGCAAACACAGTCTCTGATCACACGATCAATGCATTGTCTAAATTTAATAAGAACTTAAATCTCGATCTTTTCAATGCCTAATTTCTTTGTCACATAAAAATTCTATAGAATTGTATAGAAAGCAAAGAACATAAATAGTACAAACCAAGGTGGAAATTGTTGGCAGAGACGTGAGGAAAAAGGATTACAAGTGAAGCCTGAAATGTAGTTTCCGGTGGGATTCAAGGGCGCTTACCTTGGATCTCTATACATTGGATCTTTTCATTCCTAAGGTTTTCACAGGCAACTGATTACATTAACAGATAGTTCTGCACTGTAGCAAAACTTTCTGAGGGAACCAACCTATTGTTTCCATAGTTAAGACAGAAACAGTAGGTAAAAGATTCTTCCTCCCAGTCTCTCTCTCTTTCTCTCTCTCTCTCTCTCTCTCTCTCTCTCCTCTCTCTCTCTCTTTTTCTTTTTGAGACAATCTCACTCTGTCGCCCAGGCTGGAGTGCAGTGGTGCAATCTTGGCTCACTGTAAGCTCCACCTGCTAGGTTCAAGCAATTCTCCCTGCCCTAGCCTCCTGAGTAGCTGGGATTACAGGTGCCCACCACCATGCTCGGCTAATTTTTGTATTTTTTTAGTTTAGCCGTGTTGGCCAGGCTGGTCTTGAACTCCTGACCTCAGGTGATCCCTTTTTTCTTTTCTTAATTTGACTGTGATGTGCTGTGGCTGTGATCTTTTTTTTTGGAGGGTTGGGGGTAGTAGGGGAAGGATCTGGGTGGCCGGGCAGGGAAGAAGGGGAGGTAACAGCTGTGATCTTTTTCTCTGGTGATAAATTGATAAGTTTAGGGCTGTGCTAGATCTTTATTATACCCTTCTACACGACATTTGAAATTTGATTCTATCCATACTGTTGACTCCCCAGTATTTGTGATTGTGTCCTTTTTTCTGTGCACTGATCTAACTGCCTACCATCAACAATCAAATTAACGCCGGGCGCGGTGGCTCAAGCCTGTAATCCCAGCACTTTGGGAGGCCGAGGCGGGTGGATCACTGAGGTCAAGAGATCGAGACCAGCCTGGTCAACATGGTGAAACCCCTTCTCTACTAAAAATACAAAAAATTAGCTGGGCATGGTGGCGCGTGCCTGTAATCCCAGCTACTCAGGAGGCTGAGGCAGGAGAATTGCCTGAACCCAGGAGGCGGAGGTTGCGGTGAGCCGAGATCGTGCCATTGCACTCCAGCCTGGGTTAACAAGAGCGAAACTCCGTCTCAAAAAAAAAAAAAAAAAAAAACAATCAAATTAACTTTGATTTACCACTTAGTAAGGCTTACTATTATATGCCAAGTACATTTTATCTTGAATGTCAAATGGAGGACCTAAAACTGACTTATCAAAGTCCTGCTTCTTAAAAAAAAAAACAGGACAAAACAAATTGGCTTTTCTCAATTTCACCAACAATATCCCTTTTATCAGGTTTAAAACTTGGAATCATTTTTACCTTTCAGTTTTTCCATCGTTCTCTTTTAATATGTTTAATCAGTACACAACGGATATTTGTAAGTGTTCCTTCTTTTATGTGATCACATTTTCACCCTATTCCAGGCATTCCTCATTTCCTGTGTACCTTGCTATTGTGACTGCTTAGTTCCTCTAGGACCTCTCTCCAACTTTCTCAATCCATTTTGCATAGATTAATCTTTTATTTAAAAACAAAAAACAGGCCGGGCGCGGTGGCTCAAGCCTGTAATCCCAGCACTTTGGGAGGCCGAGACGGGTGGATCACGAGGTCGAGAGATCGAGACCATCCTGGTCAACATGGTGAAACCCCGTCTCTACTAAAAATACAAAAAAATTAGCTGGGCATGGTGGCTCGTGCCTGTAATTCCAGCTACTCAGGAGGCTGAGGCAGGAGAATTGCCTGAACCCAGGAGGCGGAGGTTGCGGTGAGCCGAGATCGCGCCATTGCACTCCAGCCTGGGTAACAAGAGCGAAACTCCGTCTCAAAAAAACAAAAAACAAAAAACAAAAAACAAAAAACTGTACCTTTTAAATAGATAGATAGATTAAAAAAATTTTTTTTGAGATGGAGTTTTGCTCTGTTGCCCAGGCTGGAGTGTAGTAGCTCAGCCTCGGCTCACTGCAACCTCCTGCCTACTGGGTTCAAGGGATTCTCCTGACTCAGCCACCCAAGTAGCTGGGACTACAGACGTGTACCACCATGCCCAGCTATTTTTTTTGTATTTTTAGTAGAGGCGGGGTTTCACCTTGTTAGCCAGGATGGTTTCAATCTCCTGACCACGTGATCCCCCTGCCTCGGCCTCCCAAAGTTCTAGGATTACAGGTGTGAGTTACCGTGCCATGCCCAATCCCCTTTTTGATATTTTTAAAATTTGTATTGAGATAGTGTGTTGCTCTGTCACCCAAACCAAAGTACAGTGATGGCAACATAGCTCACTGCAGC